TTCTCGCATTTCCGGTATCTATTGATGCGAAGACTGACGTCCAGTTTGGTTGAGACGCCGATTGTCTCGACGCTTAACTCGACGTAAGATATGCGCGATTTTGGTCTATAAGTGATTTGAAGGAACAGTCGTTTTGATAAACTTATATCAATGGCACTCAGATTAGCGAATGTCTGATTGAAAACATCTCTTGATTTTGTTGTATTCAAATCAATGGATTTTATTTTATAATTAGTTACAAATAGATTAGAGCTTTCCCTCAGCGCTGCCATTGAAATAAATGTTTAAAAAATATATTAATAATTATGTAAATTGCAAACACATTGTCTGTAATAACATGAATACCACATTTGGGAGATCTCGGAGTCCATCTGCCTTTCCAACAGGTCCTCACTTTGCTATACACTTGCTTTAAGTGGTCTTTGCATTCATAGTTGACGACCTGTCCCTCGTTAGCAGTGGCCGACTGACCGTAAATGTCGGCCCCTTCGGGAACGCCCGGCGGACCGCAACTGTTTCTCACATATTTAAACATCGATATCACTATTAAAACCATTAATTTTGACTTAATTTCCATAAACTTAATTCAATACATGAATAAATGTCAGGAAAAATTGTTCGCTCATTTCCTAAACATTATTTTACAGGATTTCTAATCTAATGAACCATTTTATATAAATTTAAAAATTATGAAATTAACATGAATTTGTTTTTTTCCATCCAAATGTCATATATATTTGTTATATATTTTTTGCACAATAAAAAACAAATCCGATTTGTCTTAAAATTTGTTAAAAGTTGTGTTGGTTTATAATTATGTAATTACCCGGATGTGACATAAACGGGAAATGAATGCTTGCTTGTTAATACATGTTAGCTTTATATTTTGTTTTAATGAATATTTATTTATTACAATTCACTTTTATATAAAGTATTAATTATATGCATGCATATCAACTTAATTAATATAAGTTGATTTTACTTAAACAATATAATTATTATTAAAACTAAAAGTATGCTAATCCTAAAAACTTTAGCCCAAATCATGTAACATTTAAATTTTGATACATTTATTTTGCAAACTTAAAAACAATCTTGATCCCCTTCTAGCGGATTAATTTAACACTAAATATTACTATTAATAAATAGTAAATTTACTTTAATTTTGCCCTTGTTTAAAATATTTTAGAACGATTTACTAACAACAATTTCTAGTATAATTATGTTATAGGTAAAGGCTACATCCACTTACTTTCATCTAGGGCTTGATGGAAAAGTACCAGGGCGACTTATAAGGTTATAATTGATCATGTATAAATATTTATATTTGTTAAAACTTGAATGATATGTTCAATAATAGAAATTGTTGTAATTAATAAAATAAATTGCTTAGAAATATTATCAGCAAATAATAAACGCGTGATTTTTTATTAAATCAAAAATTATTGCTTGTTTTTAACATAAAAGAGTAGTAAATATTTCATTTGAATAACACAATTAGCTTTTTAGTGGGGGTTTCTGTCGATTGTGATTAGATTTATCATTATATTTAACATTCATTAGATTATAATATTTACAATTATTGATAACATAAAAGTGTGAATTCATATTATATTTATATTGATTTAGTCGTCAAAACCTGTGGTATATTTGCGCATAAAAATCATTTCCAAAATTAATTAACAATAAAAATCGTTGAATAAGTAATCAAATCATGATTTTTATTGACAGATATGACAACTAATTAAAACATATGACGCTATGGGAGTGTAATGTTAATCAGATTAGATTAGATTGTATTGCAGTTCACTGACAAACATTAAAAACACTAAATAAATGCATATAAAACAGTATTCCCTACAAAAAAATATTATATTTTACTCAATAAAACTAATCTAAAACCTATTTATTTGGAAAACATCTGAATAAATAGTATTAATTATTAATTTGTTGAATAATTTACAACATATAAACTTGTATTATTATTTAAAGCCTGTTTAATTCAATCGACAAGACTTTGTTGTTATAAATTGTTAATACGTGTGATGTTTATTAAAAGTAATTAAAAGTTTAATCAATTGTAACATTAGTTATACTAAATTTATTATAATTTAAAAATGAAAATTACGTTCACAAACATTTGTCTGACTTGTGTCGCGACAATCGTATTACTAATTAATGCCATTCAATGCAATGACACCAACGGAACAGTTGTGGTGACTCTTCACGGTCGAGGCGAGAGTGCGAGTGCGGGCAATGCCATACATTTTGTCAGACGATTCAATCAACTATTGAAGAACAGGTCCATCACATCCTATAGTGTGATAAACGTTGGTTTAAGCGATTCCAGTGACGAAGACTACGACTGGTCGTCGTATCGGTCGATGGAGTTTCAAGCGGACAAACTGTGCCTTCAGTTAAACAAACCGGAGGTCTGGAAACGGCTGATGAACGCCCCGCGCATAATACTCGTTGGTTTCTCTCAGGGGGGTCTCCTATGGCGGGGCCTCCTATGGGGCCAGTGTTTGGACCCGTTATTACCCCGAATCGACAAACTGATCACATTTGGTGGCCCGCATTCCGGTGTGTTTGGAAAGCCTGACTGCTCTCAGATGGACACCAAATACCCGGCGCTCATCAAAGTGTGCCAATGGCTGCAGAAGTTTGACGACCTGACCGGCAAAGGGCCCGCACTGTACGACATTGTCATGTATACAGAGTTGGCTGAGTTGGCCTTCTCGGCGGCCAGCTATTGGAACGACCCTGGTAATCACAAACAGGACGACACGTGGTTGGCCCGCATCGATAACGAGGGCCAGACCTCAGGTGCCGATAAATACCTGTCCCGCAAACTGCCGGCCGGTTTAGTGCTGATCGCGTTCGGCAAAGAGGACACTGTATTGCCGCCCATCAGCTCTCACTTCGGCTATTGGGACTCAAAGGCCAAGAACTGGACGCCATTTAATGAGACAAAACTGTTTCAAAACGATTGGATCGGTTTAAAGACGTTATCCGATAGACATTTGCTTACTTTCTATACGATTGAAAACGAGACTCATATGAGTATTCCCGACGACTTCATCAATAATAAGTTTATCCAGTTTTTGAATTAACATTTCGTGTTATACTCTATTTTATTATCACATTATTTATAAACTATAACAATTTATAATCTTAAGTACTTTTGTTAAAAATTTTAACACATCTGACTCGTTAGTGTGACATAATTTTTATGTAATAAATGTTTAATCTAATAAACAATTTTTACAATTTACAGAATAATTAATAGTAATGTTTAATATTATTTGCAAACAATTCTACCGATAATGATATTGAAAATATAAATACATTATTCTCACACGTATTGCAATCATTTAAACAGTAATATAGCTTCTTATTGCCGATTGTTTTAATTGTATTTTAGAAATTGGATTGAGGTAAAATTATAGTAATGTTGTGTCAAATTACACATTAAATAAATGTATCTTAAAATTTTTAATTTATATCGTAAATAGTTTACAATCCGTTTACTCAATAAAATAATGGTTTACAAAGTTGTATGAACTTTAAATTAATGTTTTATTTAAAAATATCTTGCATTTGTTTACGTCTTGAGCCCCAACGGGAGGCCGAGGGGGCCCACTGACCCGCCCGCCACCACAAACAGCACACACGCCCTCTCAGACCGGGTGGACTGTCCCGACTCCCAGCACCGCATGACCAGTGATGACGTGGACTATG